AAAAATATATTTTAAAAAAGAAAAATAATTTTAGCTTAAATATGAAGGCCAAAGTGTTATAATAATGATGAGAACTAAGTAGGACAGTGAATAATACATTTGTACTATTTTTATAATTATAAAATATAAATATGTTAAATATGCCAAATACATAATAAAAATTGCAAAATGTCGTCTAATTGTTAAGGCTCAAACTGAATTTCTTCTTGAAGTTAGTCCTCATTATAGTTTCGAAGCGCAGGCAATCCGATGCACAACTGCGAGTATTAAGTCAACATTTAGATGTAAATTTGTGTCAAGTAAAGAAAATAAAGCTGACATAGCCTGCAGCGTTGAAGATGAGCCAGAAAAGTCGACGGGGCGCGAAAAGTTGAGGTGATATAGCCGAAATAACAACACAGTAATTAAATCGGTCATTTAAATAAAATAAAGAAAAATTATTATAATTTTAATTTTACGAAACTAAACAGAAGTCGAGGCAATTAAAAAAGTTCCAAGATAACATTGTTCAATATAAACGTTTCTAAATATATAAAAAAAACTAAGAAAATTAATAAAAGTAAAAGTTAAAAATAAAAAACAGGTAATGTCGAAGACATTAAATAAAATGGTCGTTAAATTAAAATAATTAACAGTCAAATGAAAGAAGCAAACCAATGAGAGAGAGAGAGAGGGAGAGAAAGAGAGAGTCTTTACAATTCCCAGCTGAGAAAGAAGCATCATTAAATTTGATAATGTCCCAGTTGTTGAGTGCTTTTTATGGTCGGGTCCACTTGATTATATGCGGCACATAATTGAGCTGAGAGAGATGAGGGATGCTGCTGCGACATCGAGTGACACACATTTACATAATTATTAGAAACAGTTAAATGTCCACAAATTGTAATCGTAGTACTTGGTCACTTGGCTAACAGAGACAGACACCGGGGAGTCATTATTTTTTGGCCAGAGTCGAGGGTCACATTATTCAAAGTATGCGGCATCAATGTATCCATGTTGTTGTTGTTGCTGTTGTCGTCGTTGTTGTTGTCGTTGCTGCTGCCCACGCAATCTATGGACAAAAATATCTTGGCGTAATTTGTGAGCGTAGGCAAAGGCGACGCCTGCCAAAGGACTTTAGCCTGTTGATGTGCGTGCCTTTGACTATGTATTTAAAAATGTTGTATTCACCAGCAAGAGCAACAGCAGCAACAACAACCACAACACACAGAAATAAAATAAAATGTAATTTTTATTATGCTCAGTGGTTTTTATTGCCTGCTTTATCGTTCTACAAGTTCTGCGTATTGCCCTTGTCTTGTCTTGACTTGTCTGATATTTGTCTATGGCATGTCCTTCCCCCTCAGTGTGTGTGTGTGTGGAAATGTGTTGGGCATGCCACAATAGCCACACTCATACACATACAGTTACACACAACTAGACAAATAGACTTGGACATGCCAAGCGCCTTGGCCTTTTGCGATATTTTCGTTTTTTATGGCTTTTTTATTGACTTGATTATTATGTTGGCCTCTTGTTTTCGAACCGAGAAGGAAAGAAAAAAAATGAAGAAGAAAGTTTTCTTAGGCTTCAGCCCAGGGAAATTAAAAAATAATTTAGCGCCCAGCTCGAGGGCTGCTGCATAAATTTGCCAAACGTCTGACTGGCTGGCTGGCGCAGGCTGTGTCTGATTGCCTTTCGGCTTACAGGCCACATAAATAAAGGCCAGCAGTTTCTAATGACGGCGTTTTTGCAATTTATTGTACGTATGTGTTATGACACTCGCTCGCACTCATATATCACATGTAACTGTAGACCGCCGACCAAATCAAATATATATATATATATATATATTTATATATGTATTTGCCAAGTGTTAACTTCGTCTCAATAAATTGCCAACATTTTAAAAAGTTTTATTTTTCTGGCACCGAAAAACATTTAATTGAAAAATGTGCGTTGCCAGTTGCCTAACAACTATTCGCAATTTATGAACTCAGTGGAAATCCGAGAAACACTCAATTTCAAATTTGCCAACAGCCAAACGCACAGAGTGAAAACTAATTAAAGTCCGAGTACGAGTATATTGTTTCACCAATAAGTGACATCTAGTGTCCACTAAGATGAAGCGTGTCAGTTTAGTGCTGCAAACAGAATTCAAAAGCGAAGAATTTAATGCGTTACGCTGCGTATACTTGATGTACGATTATCGAATGACTGGAGCCAAGATTTGAGTTTCACTTGGCATTGACTTGAAATTACAACAGAAAACGAACAATAGAGAATCACGAATGTAGAGAGAGAGAAAAAATGTGGGAAAGAGAGGGAATAGATAGGCAGAGTGAGTGAGACAGATAGTAAAAGAGTGTGAGAGAGAAATAAAATAAAAAACAGAGACAGAGTGAGATTGAAAGAAATAGAGATGGAGCCAGAGAATGGTAGAGAGTAGCAGAAAGCGAAAGGGCCAGGGAGCAGAGAAAGAGAGAGAGAGACAAACAAAAAAATAAACCGATAGATTATGATTAAAGTATTGGGATACATAGAGTTCACTTGAATATCTATATTAAATATCATAATCTTAAAGACAATAAACAAGAATAGGCTTGCTAGCTTCTTCGTCATCTGTAATATTTTTAGCTGTTTACTTGATACGCTCAATAATTCGTATATTTCTTACAAGTGTACTCGTTTGGCAAGGCCAAGTCGACAAGCTCATTTAACATTCAAACTACTCGAGAATCCTTTTAGCGCAAGACACAAAAATTCTTAGAACAGCTTAGCTGCTGACTAATTTTATATCTCTGTGGAGCGCGCTCCCTTCGCTTAGAGCGAATTTTAAAAAGCCAATCTCATCATTTGGTTGCCCTTAGAATGTCGTTTTATAAGCCCGAATATTGCCTGTGGCAGTGGGCCAAAATGACAAAAATTAAATGCCACAACAGCAAAGAAAACAAACCAAAAATACAAAAAAAAGGAGAAGAAAAAAGGAAAGCCACAAAAATGTAAGAAAAACAAAACACAAGGACTGAAAGGACTGAAACCAAGTCTCATAATTAAAAATTAAGCCATTCGCCTATTAGTTTTAACCCTCATTAACTTTAGATAAACTAATCTCCAAAGTAAACCACTCGCATTCATGGCCTTTTGTGTGAGAGACCGCGCGCGACCCTGCCCGAGGGTGGACCCAACCAAACCAGCCAGCCAACCACCCAACCACACACACACACAGTGCAGCACACTCAGTTTTCAGGGCGCGCCTACAGTGCGTGAAAAGCTCATCAAATGGGCGCGCTCTTAGAAAATCCCCATGACTTTTTTGCTTCGCCAATTGTGCTGCACAAAATGATGTAGAAACAGGACAAACCTAATAGTATGCAGAGCAAGCATAACAGCAGAAGTAGCAGCAGCAGCAGAAGCAGTTGAAGCAGAAGCAGCGGGGGCACAAGCCAAGAGAAAGGAAAAATAATTAAAAACGCAACCTTGATAAAAATGAAATGTTTACAAAGACACACAGGCGCACGAAATAAAAAAAAACTGTGACAAGAAAACGAAAAAGCTAAGAAAAAAATACTATTGAAAGGCTAAAAAAGTAAAAAAAAAAAAACACAAGAAAAGCGAAGAAGTAGAAGAAACATTTTCAGTGCTCAGAAAACCAAAACAAAAACGGATACACGCAGCGGATGCAAAGTTTACTCAAGCAAGCCAAGGAGACGTAGGCGGCGGAGGCGTGGCAGGTCGAGTCACCCAGCCGAAGGAAACTGAAACGCAGAATGCAAACTCAAGCGAAAGAAAACATAAAATTAAAAGAGCATTTTTGCCGCTACCAAATGCCTGGCCAGATGCTATCCCCCAAATAAAGTATATGTATACTATATACTATACACTAAAAGAATTTATTTAATTCAGCTAAGACTAATCGAAAGCTTAATGGAGAGAGCTATGTATTTAAATTAAAAACTTATGAGACGAAAACGGAAACTTGCAAGAAAATTGTAAAAGAAAACTTAAACAAATTTTGATTGTTAATCGAGCTACTATATAAGATATAATTATGTCTTTTAGATTAGAAAGATTAAAAATTATAAAAAATTAGACATGGTCTACTTGAGTTGCAATGAAGTCTTAAAAATAAACGAGCAAATTTCGAGTCTGAGAGTTCATAAAATAAAAAATATAATATAATAAAAATATTTAAATATTATATATTTTAAATTATATTCGTTTATTTATATATTTATATTTATATCAACACGACTAGGTCGGTCTTTTTAGCCCCATTTAACTAATTATTTTGCCTACTTCTGGTATAAAATATCTATTCCACAGAATTACATTATTAAATTGGAAATTCTCATTGATTTTTACTCATAAAAACAAAGCTAAGCGTTGGCACACAAGGAGAAGCAATTGGTTAAGTCCTAGCAATAAGCAAGCTATAATTTCGAAATATTTATCTAAAATTCACAACTAAAGCATACACTTATAAATTCTAATAGAAAGAGAGATAGAGAGATTGATAATTGAGAAACTGTATTTCAAATCGGTTTCAGTAGAGAAAGCCGAAAATTTAAAATGGAAAAAAAAATTAAATTGTATAAAGTAAAACTTATATTAATAATCAATAATAAATTTAATGATATATTAATTAAAATATAATTATAAAATTAAATTAATTCCACGCAACGCATATGGTAACAAAACGTTGCTTCCTCTCGTTTCGTTTATTATGATTGGTATTCCCTTTGAAGAGTCGATTTTATTATCTATTTCGAAACATACACAGTTCTTGTTCGAGTTGCAGAGTATGCCTTTATGTATATAAATTATTGCTACTTATAGTTTAAACATTAACTTTGCTCTCGCACAATCAGTTTATAAACAATACGATAATTACAAAGCACTAAAAATTGAGCAAATTACGCGAAGCACTTGACTTTAGACCTAAATCGAAGTAATTATATATATATATATTTATGTGTATTTAGAAGCGAGCAAACAATTTACAATTTAACGAAGGTTGCCCGATTAGCTAATTATAATATTAATATTAATAATACGAATAACTTGAGTCTAATAAAACAATTTACTATGCAAAACATAGAGATGGTTAGATCAAGAAATCGTCACACAAATCACACAAATTACAAATATTACAACAAGATCGATATACAATGCGAATAAAGCTAATTATTAATCGACATACAAATTGGTCAATTGTCATGGCTGAGTTGCTCTCACGGAGCTGGTCGATTATGATTCTGTTGCTGCTGCTGCTGCTGTTTTGATTGGCCAGCTTCCGATTTATTCTCGCGCACCATTAACAGCAGCTGCAGCATCATCAGCGCCTCCACTTTGTCCAGTGGATCCATAAAGCCACGCTGCAACCACTTCGGTATGGTGGTGCGCGCATGACTAAAGCCCAGCTTATTGAGTATATAGTCCACGCCATACGGCTCGATGGATTTACCAGCCCAGGAGAGTAGTCGTACCGTCGGCTCCAGATGCCAAGTTTGGCAGTCAAAGTGTCGCCAATCGCGCACAAACGATTCAATATCAAAGCTGGGCAGCTGTGCACCGGCTTCAGGATTTGCGGCATTTGACTGTGCATTTCCATCCTTAACATCGCTTGCAGCTGCATTTGCTGTTGTCGTCGGCTGCGTTGTTGCTGACGTTGTAGTTGCTGTTGTCGTTGTCGTAGTTGTTGTTGTTGTCGCAGTGTTTGCTGTTGTGGCAGTATTCGTTGCCGTATTCAGATTCGTATGACTGCCCTGCAGTGGCTCCAGGCTGCTCTTGCTGCCACTCAGGTGCTGGCTCTGTACGGTCAAATTCGTATTGGAAGCACCCTTCTTCTCCTTGAGTATGTCATCTGTTAAATATGGCTTTAGGCTCGCCTTCTGCGACAAGTTTGGCGAAGCGGCGCGCGCCGATTGTGCACCAAGCTGCAAGAGAGGAAAAGCATAAGTTAAGGATTCCTTTCTCTGAAAGACATACTCAATCAACTTACCACTTTTTCTTTTTCAGTCACATACGAGGTGATTAGATCATGCAGAAAGAAAAAGGCATCTGCATCCACAGTGACAAATATGTGATCATCAAACTCTGTTATAAAGCTGCACAAAACTTCAGGTTTCGTTTCTAAAGAAAAATGTTTTTATTATTAATTATATAGAAAGAATTTTGGATTAGCTTACCAGTTGGCTCTGGTGTGCTGGGTCCTTGCTTGTGCTCGGTCTTGAAATACAGCTGAAGGCTGGGCAGCGCAAAGATAACCTCGCGATTGTGATTGTGCTCCTGCGATTTAGCCGAGCTGCTGCTGCCCGAAGCACGCGTACGTTCAATTGAATTGGAGGCTATCTCCCGCTCACACTCCAGCATGGGGAAGCGATCCACAGCTGTTAAAGAGAAATCACATAAGCAATAAATAACTCAGTTCCAGACGGAAGTCAAAGTTACATTAACTCACCATCAATTTCGCTGTTGGCAAATGCATAATGGAACCATTCGTTGAGGGTCTTAAATTGAGGTGGAAAGATGATGTTGCGTGTGATGCGACTGACAATGGCCATGGAGTGATTCTGTTGCTGCTGCACCTCTGTCGTCTGGCCCAGGCAGGACGTTAATGTCTGGGTGACGAGCACCTCACTGGAGTCCTCCAGCTGTCGCGCCTCAGTTGCAAAATTGATGGAAGGTGATTTCAGACTAAACAGTGCCCAAGCTTTCGACTTGAAGTTGATGCCGTGGAAGCAAGCGAGAGAAATGTTCTGACCACGCAGATCCACAGTGCCGCCAAGCACATTGCCATGCCGTGGCAGGCGCGTCACCAGCGATGGTACCACCAAGCCAATGGCCTGTGCAAGTGGCTTCTGCCAATGACGATGATGACGTGCATCCGTGTTGTCCACACCACAGTAATTGGGAGCAGCTGCTGCTGGAGGCAGCTCGCCATTGGGCTTCTTCTTCAGCTGCTGGCGGCGCTTGATGCTCGCCGTGCGATCCTGCAAACGCGGCTCTAGACTGGAGAACACCCGCTTGGAAGACTTAAATTGCTGGGTAAAGAACTCTTCAAGCTTGAAGTACATTTTCATAAGATCCGCAGTCGTCGACTTGGATATCATGATCTGCAATTGATCCCAGCTGAGATCGCCGTGTATAAAGATCAGAGCACGTGGCTGATCCTTGCCACAGGCTGCAGCCTGCGATGCTGTGCGCCATTCGTCCTTCATGGCCGCAGCAAAGGTGCTGATACGTGTCATCAGGACCGAAGTGCCCATGTAGTCCAAGCGCAGCTCCAATGCCATAAAACTAAGTCCCAGCGTATGATACGGCTCCATGCCAGATTCCTCTTTGATGTGGAAGCGCTTGTTGATCTTGTTTACTTCAAAGCTACCGCCAACAATGCCACCCTTGGCATCCAGTGCCGAGCCACCCAAATAGATGCCTGCATACATATTCTTATAGCCGGTGCTGCCTATAGATAGGCGACCATCCGAGCGAAAATCCTTGGTTAGCCAGACCACATTGCCACACACATTGCCTATATTCATTTGCACATTCAGCTTGGTGAAGTTGACCGCGAAGATGACCAAAGTTTCCCAGGCAGTTATTTGATTCTTTTCAGAGGGCGGCGTACCGGACGATTCAGCACTGGACGACTTGCCCAACGACTTCAGCTTACGCACAGCGCCAAAGTGACCCAGTTGCTGCTGTGCCTGTTGACCCTCGAAGTCCAGACGTAGTTTGTCCTTGCTGCGACCCTCGCTGGGTGTGGGCGTTGGCGTGGCTGGCGTTGGCGTTTCTGCGCCCGCCTGTTGTTGCTGCTGCTGCTGCTGGTGCACACTTAGATCACCCAGGAATAGACGTCGCACAATGCGTCGCCTGTACCAGGCCTTGGGAAAGGCCAAAATCTCAGTGAGTCGTCGCATATCGTACTTAAAGCTCGCGCTGCCAATGTCAACAATAGTGGAAAAGCGTATTACAGCACGAGATTGATCCAGCGCACGCTTCGAACTGGGCAACGGCTCAATGTAAACTTTGCGGCAGCGCGTAATGTGAAATTTAACGAACTCCACATTGATGCTCAGCGAATCTTTGCGTTCGCTGTCGCTTAGCGGCGAGAACTGGGTCTCCTTGGAGGTCTTCTTGCCGCCATATGGATGAAAGATGTAGACATTAAAGTCCGCCAGGCAGCCTGTAACACTTAGCCCGCCAGTGGGCAGCTGCTGATCTGCATGGCTTTGGCTTGTGTGTGGCTGCTGTTGTTGCGGTTGCTGCTGCTGCTCCTGTTCATCACCGCTGCGCTTGGAGCTGAAAACAATATCCAAACTGGGCAGCTGCAGCATGCACTCCACTCTAGAAACCGGCAGGCAGCTAAATCTAAACGTGGACGGCTGCATGTGGAAGTAAACGATGACATCGACGGGAAATGATGCATAGGTTGCATAATTTGCAGGCAATATATCCAGATTAACAGCTGCTGTATGCGAGGGCGTGACTGGCACGCTGTTGGCCTGTCGAGCGGGTATGGGCTCTAGAGTTTGCTCGAGGAACTCTAGTATGTGAGGCGAGAGGATTGTCTCCTCTGGTATGCTCTGCAACGTCATCCAGGCGCTCAGCGTGGCTCGCTTGTTGCCCAAGCGTCGCATATGTGGCATAGCTGATGCGTTTGCTGGTGTCGATGGCTGCTCGTTGGAGTCGGCTAGCGTGCGTGATTGATAGTGCAGCTTGACGTCCAGGCCGGGTATATGAAAGATGGTGAGATCTGCGAGCAGCGCATTATTATGCGAGCTGGCGTTGAAACGCAGCTTACTCTTATCTCGCTGTCGACGCGAGGGCGTGGGACTGCCCCAATCGTTGCCAATGCTGCGTTCGCGCTTATGCGACTTCACACTCGAGGCAGCTGCCCCACCAGCTGCATAGGCAGCACGTTCCTCGCCGCTGTTGTTCTCCTTGGTGTGGAGGACGCACTTGCCCGAATTGACAAGCACCTTGACATCCAGTTCGAAATCAATGTTTGGCTCTGGCTGTTGTTTTTGGCCATGGGCATGTGCATGCTTGCGTCGCATCTCTACTGAGGTGCCATCCACATCCATTTCGCTGGGCGTGCAATCACCATGGATGCTGCCACGCCAATCCAGCTCGTTGTCAGCGGTCTCTGTGTCTGTGTCTGCATTCGGCAGCGATGTCTGTCGCATGGCATCTGTGAAGGTCACACGACCTACGCCCGTCTTAAAGGATGCGCTACGTGAGTGACAGGAAGCGGGCGTGCTTTGCAGGCTAGAGATTTCATCATTGGAGGCAATCGTATCTAGGCGTCTGCCCGCGTAGCTGTGACTGCTGCCATTATCGAGGGGCAGTTCCCTAGCTACCGGCACGCCTGGTACTGTTCCACTGCCTATATACGAATGTGACCGACCGTAGTTCTTTAGAGATCGCCGCAGCGACGGCTTCCTCCACTTTTGTATCATGTCACGACGGAAGTATTTGTAGCAAATGGCCTGCAGCTCCTGCAAGCGTCGCTCCTCGTGTGCAACCGTATTATGAGAAGCACCCAATGTACGCAAATCATTTATAATCTTCAACTGCTCAGCCATCTCCTTCTCCATCATGAATGAGCGCTTCTTCGAGTCAATAGTCGGGTCGAATACAAAGGCGGGCAGATTATCGAATTCCGCACGCCTTCGGACATACGTATCCCGACTGCTCTGATCGCCTTCATCGCTATCGGGTGATTCCACTTGCGTGTCGTCTTCTTCGAAGCCCGTGAGCATGGTGAGCGTGTGGCCCAGCGAGGAGAGCTGCTTGCCAATGTTCACATCTAAATGAATGTCAACGCCCTCCATCTGCCACTTCACATTCAACAGCCACTTGGCATTCTCGCCCTTCTTGGCGGCTGTGGTGCGGGAGCAAACCTCAAAGGTGCCCTCAGAGACGACGCACACATTCATAATGGGCTCCACGCTACTCGGCTTCCAGTCATCCAGATTGGTCTCGAAATCATCTGCAAAGCGCAAACACAGACCCTGAAATTTGCCCTTGGAGACTAGGGAGCCGGAATTACAGGCCGATATGATGGTATTCTCCAAGGTGATGACCACAGCGCCTTTGGCATCAAAGTCCTGATACGAACGCGAGCCAAAGGACTATAAATACAATTAAATACATATAAATAAATTATTTAATTAGCTTATATTAATTTAGCACTCACCATTGCATTGACTTGCTTTAGAGGCAAACAGATGCCCATATCTTCCACAGTTAGTTGCAGGAATAATGTGGACAAATTGGAGCTGGCTATTTGACCAAAGGCCACGCGATCAAAGACCTGTTGAGTGGTTTGGGCTGTATGTTCGTAGCACAAATTCGCCCGTTTCTCGGCCCAATATTCGTAGGCATTTTTGTAGTTCAACCAGACCAATATGGCCTTGTCCACGGCTATCGGCTGTACGTAGACCAGGGGACGCTTTAGCGTCAGCAATATGAGCTCCTTGTCTTCGTTGAGCAGCTCATCCTGGAAAGCGTTACGCAGACCGATGGTCGTATGGAAAAAGGCATATTGCTGAAACTCTGGCTCAGCCTCATCAAAGATCACATTCCTAATGATCTGGCCCAGTGACAGATTAAAATCGATGTGGGCTTTGAAGAACAATTTGCGATTGCTCATGTCACCCAAATTCTTGACACGATTCGAGAGCTGCAACTCTAATGTGCCTGTTTCAAAGCGCACAGCTGAAGAACAAGGTGTGGTGGCTGTTAGTTGTATGCGCTTCATGGATATGTTGATGGAGAACAGAATGCGTTTTAGCGTCGATTCCTGTACGCTGGCATTATCGCCACTCTCCTCGGTCCACAGAGGAACTGGCTTCTCCCCGCCATAGACCTTTTGGAGAACCTCGTTGATCTCTCTCATGAACACCTTCTGCACGAAGACCAAATGATTGAGAAGATCTGTGGTTAAGCAGCGCTCGAATTCGCCAATCTCAGCGCTGGCATTCACATAGCCGCCCTGTCGTAAAACAATGCCTTCAATGCTCTCCGTATGCTCCTGTCGATTGTCAGGTATATATTCTGCTACAACATGCACGGGTGGTAGGCCAATGCATGCCTCCGAAGGCAGATTCATTTCGTTCTGAAACAGTAACTTGCTTTAGTTTAGATCTCAATTAAATTAAGAGACAACTAACCTGTATCTTGGTATTAAAGCTCAGCGTGTGCGTGGGCAAATCAATGACAAACTTTGCTCGCTGCCCCGTGACACCCATCGAGCTGACATGATTCATGCGATACTGCGCCTGCAGCGAGGGCAGCAATGCTGCATTGATGGACAGACTCTGTAAGAGCACATTGAATTGCATGACGAGCGGTTGAAGCAAGCCATTTGATGCTGTCGCAGGCTTGGATTGAGCTAGGCGGGCAGCTCGTCTTGCTGCATATTGCGGCTGCTGCTGTGCACCACCAGAAATTGTTCTCTCACGCATTTCGCTGGCAGTGCCCACGCCGCTTGCTGCTCCACCCGAATTGCGCGCATGGAATGGCGAATCTGGCTCTTCCGCTGTATGAGATCGTAAAGTAGATCTTCCCGAATTGCGTTTCACACGCAGCTCTTGCAACGTGGAAGACAGCTGCTTCGAGCTGCGCGTCATCATGCCGTGTAGAGCCACTGGATGCTGAGGTATGTCTATATTAACGGGTCCAATAGAGAGTAGGCCGCTGTTCTTATCCTTGCCCCGCTTTGAAAGACTCGAGTAGAGCGTCTGGCTCTTGCCCACTGTAACCTTGACAACCGTTCTGTAAAGCACATAAATTTGTAAACTAGCTTAATTAAATTGGTTTTAGTACTTACTGCTGACTGGGCGCCACACCCTCGAGTAATACAATCATAGCACGACCCACCTGGCCAGTGAGCGAGCATTCCAATGACACAGGTCTGGCCTTCTTTCTCCATGTAGCCGTGCTATTCAGCGTGGTAATCTCAGACTCCAGTTTTAGACCGGACAGCGTGGCCAACAATCGGGTCTTGTGTATCTTGGCCACGCCGAAGACAATTAGGCGCGTTCGCTCTGGTGGTACCCCATCCACCAGCATCATCTCGCGATGCTGTGGCAAAGGTGTTGGTGCATTCGTCAGATCGTCCTCGTCGTTGTTGCCGAAGCTCGGAGGCGCCTTCTTGTGCTCATTCAGCGAACTCCGCTGCGCTACTGTCTTGGTCTCCGGCATGGTGCCATACAACTCTAGCAGATGATAGATTGTCTTCCAGCAGTTGGGTGTCTCTAGCAGCGGCGCCGACTTGGTGAGCGTGTTATTGTAATCCCCACTGACACTCGTAGCGCAGCCACCATTCAGCGATGCCTTCGACTCTGTGGTAAGCTTCAAGATGTGCTGCTCGTGGAACGACATGGTGGGACTGTCTCGCAGGGGCGAAGAGCTGGACTCATTAAGGTTGGTGTAGCCCAGTTTGCCCTTGACGGATTTGCCCGTGGAACGCAGCTTTTGCGCAAAGCTCTGCGGTCGATTCTTGGCATTGGGCGATGGAGTTAACTGTATAATGGGACGATTACGACCTGCTGGCATTGTGGGCATGGTCTCGTTAAATTTGTCATAGCGCTCATCCGAAAAGCTTTCGCCAGGGCCAGCAAAGCGTTCCGAAAAGGGCAACAAATCCGTTGGTTCGGAGGCTACAAGAAATAAATCAGATTAGTGAAATTGCAATCCAAGTTTTACATGTTTCTTACCTAGACTACATTCGTCTTTGGTCTGGCTCTTCTTGCTCAAGTCGGGATGCTCGTGAAACTCATTCTGAGCATCCTTCACATTCTGATACATATTGCAGATCTGATGTAGCAGTCGAAGCAGCGGCATATTCACCTGCTGCGAAATGAAGCGCACATTAAGACTGAAGTTGATGACTGTGCTCGTGTGCTTCTTGAGCTGCCGCCTGGACATGTAGATGACATTCTGACGCGCCTGATCGACCATGCCATCGGACATTTTCAACACCTCCAACTCAACGCCCACTCGTTCACACAAAAAGAGCGGCGTGTCCATCATGATAGAGGCTCGTGCGCCATTCGATTTCTTACTGAGCTTGGCTGGCTTAGTATTAGTATTGTTCTTCTTATCGCCAGCCTCACTGACCACAATGTCTACGCGTATTGAATCAAAGGTGCCAATGAGCGAGAGATTCGTGCCAAAGTTCTCCAGCGAAGAGATGTCTGCGTTTGAGAACTTATTGATCATTTGCTGTGGCATAACGCCCAAGCACGTGAGCAGCGGCTCGAAGATCAAATGCGCATCCAGCAGCTTAATGGAGTCCTGCATAATAGTGCCTCTCGCCTGTGGATGACCATGAAGCTTAGGTGGAGCTGGACGTGCATGTTCCTTTTCAGTAGAATGTTCTTTCTTTTTGTTATTATCCTGTTGCTTGGCCATCCAGAAGTACAAATCCTCCTTGTGATTTTCAGCACCCAGCCAGAATTTATTCACTGAGTTTGTTGAACTCAGCGAACCCTCCTGCAGGGCGCCATACTCTGCCAAAATTGTATATATTATAGATGTGAAAAATTATATTTCAATTTTAAGGCTTACCAAACTCTGGCACTTGTTTCTCCACTAAGCCCGATATAATGGGCAGCATTTGTATGCTGGAACGAGACGAATTGCCATGTGAATAATTCGAGGCTTTGCTGTGCACTTTGCCCAGACTTTATATATAACAATACGAATATCATATATTTGCAAATATATTCATATTTATGCGATGGTTAAGTAGAGTTGGGTATGAAAAGAAAAACACATACACAGGCAAAGGCATTAATAGACGAAACATGCATAAGCATATATGTGATATGGAATACATTGAAAGCCTTAAAAAAAGGAACTTACCCACGACGCGTGTGATGTATATTGGGCGATGTGGAAGCCGATCTCTGGGATGCTGGTCCATGATGCGCTGTTTCCTGAGCATAGGACATGCCCCCATACTGTGAATTGTCTATATATGGAATGGTAAGAGACTTAAGTAAAAACTTTTATATTGAATGAAAATAAATATAACAATTTTGCACTTCAGTGGGGTTAGAGACCAAAATAGAATTTAGCTAAGTGCAGTGTGCGAAATTATTCGATTGAATAGAATAAAGGAGTATAATACAGAGATAGACCATGATCTATGAAGTTTTACGTAATAATTTACATATATTAACATAGTTGTTGAGCACACTGCACTAGATTGTTTAAAACTAAAATTTTGATTTGATAACTTAGCCGGAAAGGAAAGTAACATTAAATATTTGAATACATAATGCAAACGCAAGACATCAAACAATATGAAGTCATGAACACTTAAAGCTGATTGAAGACATATAATACGGGTAATTGGTATAGTAGAGTAGAAGTAGAAGAGAGAATAGAAGTAAGTCAAACAAGAAAGAAAGTTAGGAAAAAACATATATAGAGCCAACAAACAAATGTCTGTCGAGTGCTTAAAGAGTTAACTTGTGCATGGCTTATATATTAATTCATTAATTAACAGATACGTGCATAAAAAAAAACATACAAAAATAAACTCCTATATCTATATATATAAATATTAGTTATAACAAAGGAAGTTGGCTGCATGTTAGGCAGCTGACCAGCGTTAATCAAAGGAATACCAATGTGAGTTCGATGATGCTGTGTTTGCCCAAGTAATAAAGCATTCTCACTCTCTTCCGGATGCTCGCCGACGCCTGCATAGGCGCCCATTTCAACATCACCTTCACACTCATCCGCTTCGCACTCCTCTTCGTTTTGTGGAAAGGAGAATGTCACATTGATCGGTCGAGCCAATTTATTCTTATACTGATGCTCAAACAATATGGGATTATACAAGGTGTTCTTCCACTGACGACTTAATACAATGATACCCTATTTAAATGGAGCAGACATTAAGATATATATCTGTAGGCAAGTGGATATATTACTTACCTGCCGAAGCGTATTCAAATGGGGCACTTCGCCGTGCTTGAAAATTTGCTCAATGCGCTGCACGCCTTCATCCAAGACTAGCTTTTGCATAATGTAGCAAAGCTGACAGCTGGGATCCTCCTGCAAGGTCTTCGACAACAGCGTATAGTTGTTCGCATAGCGACTCTGATTGAGAGAGATTATATATAAGCATCTATATGGGCATATCGCTTACTGCCTTCACTGACCTTCTTTATCTTTGGATTCCGTTGAATCTTCTCATTCTCCATGGCATCCGCCATGAGGCAGGCAGCAACTGCCGTTTGCCTTGTATGCAGCACCTTCATCAGGGACACAATTTTCATGGCTAGACGATTGCTGGGATTCATCCAAGCCGTTATGGCCGGCGAGGCAGTGCTCAACAGATTCCAATCCAAGCGCGTCAAATCGATTTTACGTGTAATTGGCACACAAGGAGGCGCCGCAAAGTTAAACCACACAGACTTTAACTCTATTACACAGGAGGAGGTTTTGTCAGTGCCTTTGACATTCGAGAGCGCCTTGTCGTAGCCATCCTTCGCTGCATTCGCAGCGGTGCCTGGCTTTTGTGTGCCTGATGTCTGTGAGTTGCCCGCTGCTCCTTTCTCCACATCCTCATCAGCCGGCTGTTTTGGTGTCGCTTTGCGTGTCTGCTCTGCACCACCTTCGCTGGCAATATTGCTATCCAACGCATGCGGGAATTTCTCTTTGGGTGTTTTAGGTGTTGGTGGCTTTTTGGTAATCAAACGCCAAGCTGCTTCGGCTTTCGAGGTAGCACCACTTGCATCTGCCGATGAAGTTGCGGCTTCAGCACCTGAACCCCCAACCAGTTCGGTTAGGTTAAAGCCACCTCCTGTAGAGGCAACGCCCTCTGCACCAGCTGTCATCTCAGCTAGCTCTTCTTTGCTATTCTCCGACTTCTCGAAATGCGAACGCTTTACAATCTTAACGCCAACTCCTTCTAAGCCACACTCGAACATAATGTAGCCAATGCTCTCAATGCCTGTACTCTCGGGCATCTTCAGGCATTCGAAGAGCACCTTGCTCTTATGCTCCGGTATGGCAGTCACAATAATAGGAGTCTCTGGGGCACACGACTGCCCCTCGGTCTTAAGGCGACGTAGCTGCGCATGTGCACGACCAATATCGAGTGTAATTACTAGCTCTTCCAGCTGCTTCTCCGAGGTCTCAATGAGTATCGGCTCGCCTTGCACATTGTCGGGTCTCGTTTGCGAGGAGAGATGAGCGAGCAACGCACGAGTGCCCTTCATAATGCCACCTTTCTTATGACTGCTGCCCGATTGCACGGCCTGCTGTATATAGACATTATGCATTGAGGCTCGTGTGGTTTTACCTAAATGAAATTTAGTCGAGATGCCCTCCATGTAGAACGTAAGTAGCGAGACACAGCTGAGATCCTGTATACAAAACATTCATTAGACGCAACAAATTGTGATTGCATATATCTCTGACTCACCTGCACATTGTCGAGTGCTGCCACGGATATAATCTCCTCCACAATTGACGACTGCAGCATTGTGATGCTCACCTTGGGCAAGACAATCAATCCCTGAGTCTTCGTCGAAATGCTCTCCTCATAGACATCGCTCAGAAAAGAGTCGCCGGGTCCCTGCAGATGTCGTTCGGTTGTCGAGCGCTTGGAATTCGAGTGCACCTGTGACCAGTAGCTGAGACTCTGATCACGCTTTAAGATATTGTCGTTCTTCACTTTCGCTATGCAAGAGGCGTGTATAAAGTTTACAACAGAGAGCAGATGCATTGACTGGATTGTTGGTACGGCAGCCTCAACCATTCTGCAAGGTAAGAAACAAATTTGTTATTGTTAAACTTTTATATGTAAGCGATAAGTGAGCGACATCAAATTGTGAAAATGGAATAGAGAGAAGCGTTGATAGTGGTCAATAGACAACATATCATGGCTTTTACCTCGACATGTGTTTAAAAGATGAAATTGTGATAGCTAGAGAGAAGCAAAAAGTGAAAAGGAAGAAGCGTGAACAAGAAAATCTGTACTATCTATGAGAGAGAGAAATTAGTAAATATTCTAAATAAGCGGAGAGAAAGAAGCTTACATAGAATTATTGATAAATCCTCTTAAGCAACATCTTGCAAAATAAGAGAAGTGGAAAGAAGTAAAAAGGACACAGATAAGGAGCAGTTTCATAAAGAAAACACCTATTCCAAAACTAAAGTTCATTGCTTTATCTGTAATCAGTAAACAAGTCAAAGCAAAAACATTGTACTTCGATCAGCATAAGATCAATATACTACAAATTTAAGTGCTATAAGTTCATAGAAATGCTCCTAATGCGGGTTGGTTTGCTGTGTGCCCTGCTGACCTTTATCGCAGCATATCCGCTGGTAAGTTGCCAAAAGCCTCTCTAACTTCTTGCCAATACAAACTAATGCAGCAGGAAGCCGCAGTAAAACCCGTACGAAATGAGGAGCTCGATCCGGCTGAATATCCTGATTTAACAAATGGTCTAAGTGACGCTGAAGTGGAGTCAACACTCAATGGCTTATCCCTAGATGATTTGAATGCATTGAATAAACTTTTGGATGATGCTGGCAATGGACCATTCGATTTAAAGGGTATAGACTACATACGCTGAAAGGCAGACCCTTCCATAATTAATTTCTTTCAAAGCAAGCAAGCCTTAGGGGACACCATAGGCAAGCCAAAAAGCAGCCTTACGCGGATGTTGATAGTGTGAACGAGGACCAGGAGAGTGCCTTGAAGCCGGACAGACAAACAGAAGACGATGCCTGTCATGATGAGGACGAGGAAGAAGAAAAGGACAACTGCACCCAACAACCCAAATGCAACAAGCGACCCACCACACGGCGGTGCAGTGGAACCACTCGAAAGAGTACGACCCCATGCAGATCCTTGGACGGCTTTTTAGATATACATTTAGATGGATCCAAGTCAGACAGAAACAAAGCCAAACTAAAATGCAAAACTGTTGAGGAATGTGATCCAGAGGATACGATGTGCCTGCAGCGCCTACAACACAGATCGATGCAGCGGCCAAGCATGCATGACTTTGCCACTGTGAGTGAGAATCACGGGCCCTTTGCAATGGACAGCTTGGAGAAATTGGCAGCTCAGGCTCATCGCAACGACGCGCTTAAGCTGAACAGGCAACTGAAAAACTGGAATGTCAAAGAAGACGCAATACCTGAGGTATCAAACATGGACTATGACAAGTTAGCCAATGTGGATGCATTCAAAGAGTCGCCCAAAGTAGACAGCGCCTGGGCTCGAGTGAACGTGGCTGAGGATGAGGTTGGACAATCACAACAAAACGAGAAGCTGCTTAATATGCCCTACGAGCGACATGAGCTGGCAAGGTCAGCAAACGGGCGAAGACAACGACAGGAAGAGGAGGAGGATGACAAGCAGACCGAAGAGCTGGACGAGAATATGCAACTGGATGATCCAGCCGAACTCGGAGTTAATGAAGGCGACAGGTTGGACACCTTAATACATAAATCAATGCCCCACTAAACTATAAACGTTTCCGTTGGCAGTTTCATTGCGCACAATGCGCGCGATCCATTGCGCTACCTAATTCAAACAGATGAGGGCTATGGCAAAAGCGAGATCGAACCCATCGAAAACCAGCTGCGTACAGACAGGGAACACAGCGAAATGCTCAACTATGAACCGTATCAACCAGCCAATAAACGAGTTCCTTTACAGGATCAGCTGCAGCAGTCGAAGCGCATCAAGCGGGAGAATAATATAAGAAAATGCGACGATGACTCGGCCGAGGTAAGTGCAGCTTGAAATATTTAACAGACTATTAAGGACTCCATCCAGAACAACAACAACGAAAGCTATCTCAAAAAGCTGATGGACTCGTTTCCCCGTGATAAGAACGTGCCAAGCAACCTCAATGTAGCCATCAGGCTGGCAGAACTAACGCATTTGCGTGTTAAACGAAGTTAAGTTTTCATTATTATTCCAATTGTTCAATTGATCGATGTATACATAAATATATATTTTTTTATAAGAATCTGTGAATAAACACGTTGCGTCTGGGTTAGTTGTATATTGAAACTCACCTTTGTAGTCCCTCCAGTAGAAGGGGCGTAAGGAATACATTGAGCTGTCCCTTCAATCTAGCCACAACCGAGGTGCACGCCGCACCGCCTTCCGACTGAAGACTCATGAATTCGCCGTCATCGAAACCATTTGTCGTCTTATCCGTCTCCTCCTCCTTAAGCAGAACACTGGGATCCCAGGGATGCGATTTAGGGCCGCCCATAAATGTGGCCGAGCTGTTGCTGCCAGTGGAGTTCTCATAGCGTGGCACCACTTTGATCTCCCGCCAACACGAATACAAATCGAAATGTGGCAACATTTTGCTGCCAATGTAAGTGAGACCTCCATCTTCGTTCTCGTGGAAGAGCGGTGTGGAGAAAACATCCGGTCCGAGTGGAAATGAGCAGCCATTCCAATTGAAGCACTTGACCTGCGACAAGTGATTTAAATAGCTGGCCATCAGGAGAGGCGAATCGATGATGGGTCGATTGACCTGCTGATGCAAATTGACCAGAGCCACATCCTCCTGCGACGACATGGCCGATATAAACGAGTTCGATGAGAGCGAGGGTGTGCCCGACGACGAGCCACGTGAGTCCGCCTGGGAAATGCAAAGCAAACCAAGAATGCAATTAGAAACACGTAGTAAAGGAATCCATAGCAAACGGCTACAAATCAAATGGAAAAGGTGGGCAGAACAAGTGGCGCCAAATGTGCAATGTGTGCGTGTGTGTTAGGTACTTAAAACTAAACTAGAAATAAACTAAATCAGACTTCGATTAGCTTCAAGTTGCATGCGAAATATTAAAGTCATGCAGACAACGCATTAGAAACCCTTGCAGAGGGTTCAAAATGAATTAAATTATATATTACAAATTAAAATTAAGCTTAAATAATTTTTAATAATTAGTAATCTGTCTACAAGGATTTGCGAAAGTGGTCTGAACAATTTGAGACCATTTTAAATATTTAAATAATTATAAATAAATTATAAGTCAAACCACTCCCGCAGTCTTCCGGCTAACCGAAGATAATTTAGTTTCATAACATTTTTCATATGATAAGAAGAATTTTGAAACATTAAGATAGAAAGAAATATTTGAATCTAGTTGCACTACACATGTTAGTAAAAGATTAAGGATTTCATTGTTTTTAAATTTATGTTACTGTACTTTTGTTTTAGGCTGTTTGCTAAGAACTACTCACATCGTGAACAAAATGTCGATACTCGGGTCGTGATGATATATTTGTTAATTTTCTTATAGGTGTGGCAAGACCGTGAATGCGTCTCGCGTCTTCGTTCTGGATGAGTTTTACGTATTTATATAGTTTTTATTTAACGTTTAGTTTTTATGATTCGAAAATTTCGAGTTTGTGGAAAGGAATAGAATTTAGGTGTGGATTTTGTTTAACAATAGAGTTATAGAGAAATATAGCTTAAAGTTAAGAAGAGGAGCATGCATGATATATGTATATATATATAGAAATATATATATATAGAAATGTACGACAAGTTTTTCCCAAATACTTTGGAACTGGGCTGCTTTATATGCTATAAATTGTAGTTGGTGAAAGTGGAATATAAACTAGGCCTTAAAAGCAGTAAAGCTGCAAAGTGTATATAGTATAGTATATATAATTGAATACTTAAAGACTTAATATATATATATATGAATGTTTTTCAACATTTGCTCGATTGTTTTTACCAGTTCTGTTGTGCTCTGTGGTCGCTTGGGCAGCGTTTTGTTGCTCTCGGATGGATGAATCTCCAGATCGCTTCGATAGGTGGGCAGAGTGTGGCTGCCATTTTCATTTTGGGCGCCAATGCTACAATATATTGCAATTAGATATATAGTTCTAATATATACATTTAGTTGGACCTACCTGAAATCAGAGGAGAAACGTTTTCTACCCGATAAAATGATGGAGCCAGTGCCACTTCGCTGCTTCATGGAGCCGCGCTGTGACATAACATTCGATATGTCTTCCTCGGCGGAGAAGAACATCTCTGAGGGATTCTCGGAGGTTAGCGATATGGTGCGCTGTACTTCACGCGTCAACTGGTCTCCACCATGCAGCACAATGTCCGCTATCTCAAATTCCAGTGGATGCGAATGAGGCGCCGAGTGGGACATCTCGTCGGGAATCTGAGCGTAAGTCTCAATATTAGTATGTAGCTCACTCGCTTATCATATCATCTGCTTACCTCCTGTTCATCATCTAGAGCCACCTCGCCAGTCAGTCTAGAGTCGGATATGCTTGTCTTGGGGGGCGATACACGTAGTCTGTGCGAATCAGAGCCGCGTCTTTGCTGGCTGATGGCGTTGTTTGTCTCCCTCTCCATGGACTCGTGCTGCAATTGCAGTTTCTTGGACGGGCTGTCCAGCAGGCGCGCGTACGGCACCTCCACAGAGGTCTGCCTTGTGCATGTATAACGCTTGCTGCGTCGCTCCAGGGTGTTCGGTGACCCAATGCTCTCGCGAGACTTATGCCGGTTGCTGTTAAGCTCTGGTTTGTCAACTGCACCAGCTCCAATTTTGAATTTAGTGCCATCGGGCAGCGAGCCAAGCTCCGATTTCTTTAAGCTGCCATTGCGCATCTCACTCGCGGGTCTGTACAGCTTACCCTTGCCATTGAAGTCGGCCGCGTCATAAAGCGAAACGCAGTGTAGGCTATAAGGTGGCGTGTGGAAGACCAGCTGGCCCTGATGCAGAATGCTCTCGCCAAAGCCAAAATCTTTGCTGTTGTTGATGATGCTGCAAGTACGAAGTGAGATGAGCATAAAGTAATAAAGAAGACTTTTCGCTACTTACAAATAACGCGCTATATTATAATTGTCATTCACATCTTGGGCCGTGGGCTTGAAGAACTTTTGGCCATTTCGATTGCTGCCAAAGAAGGCGCAGCCACCAATGCAACCACAACGCGATGTTTCCGAGCCGGAACTAAGAGCACTACCATTGTTTGTCCACAGGAACCACAAGCGCTTAAACTTGGCATCGTGTTCACGCAGAAAGCTGAGCAAAATAGACAAAAAAATGTTAGTATATAAAAGCGCTTGTTGCCAATGCTTTCACTCACTTGTGCTGCACGAGATGCAGCTCATGATCAGGTATGGGCAGTGCAGAGGCGCCTTCTAACAGTATGGGACCCAAAGAGGTGCAGCCCACCTCCACCCAATTCTCGCAGAGCTCCGATGTTTGCGGCGTGCGCTTTGCATGAGCATCCACACTATCGCGCAGTTTGCTGCGTGCCGAATCTTCGCGCGAGTCGCGACGTTGCGAGAATGAGTTGGAGCTGCGTTTACTGGTGGGCTTATGCGTGGCGTAATGCCCACTGTTGGGCACATCCTGCGACTTGAGCGAGTCCTGATCAGCGCGTCGCAGCTTGCCCGATCGGTTGCTGCCCGTCGTATTCGTATTGTAACTGCTGTTGGGTGCATTGCCTGCATGGAGCATGAAGAGCCGAAGCAGAATTGAGGGCAACAGACCCGAGATGCCAGATTTGACGCGTTGGCCGTGCAAATTGCAATTTGCTAGTCGTATAGGTGAGATCCAAGCATGCAAAGCCGTGCCGCTCTCAATGAGATAAACGTCCACAGCATCTACCGAAACGCGCGTCATCTTGTATTTGATGTCCTCAGAGGATGGGCATTTGTACTTGTTCTCCTCCTTGGTGTGCGGGCACAGATTACTGGGCACCCCATGATGACAGTTACGAACGGTTTTAGGCGATTTTAAGCAGTTCTCTGGATCAATGGCAAGCAGCACAAGTGTCTCCAAGCCAGTGACGACATTCACCAGCTGTGGCAGAGTCAACTTGCCCGTCAGCTTGCCCAGCTGCACTTCAACTAGCCACGAATACTCTAGGGTATCCTCATCCAAGGCACAGCCCTCATTGCTGAACATTGCATGTCCTCGCACCTGGACAGCAGAGAGCAGCAGATGACCCTGCTGTATGTGCTGCTCACGCTGCTGGCGCTGCAGCGTGTCGGCTGTGAGCAGATAAGAGGGACTGACAAGCACTTGCAGCGTTGTCTCATGATAACGTTTGTCCATCTCGAAGCCGAAGCGTTCGATCAGCACCACCGGGCAAGGCGGATCATCTGGATTGCAGTTCTTCATCACGTGTGCTTGAATGTCATGTACTATGACCGATACCATGACCTCTAGTGGGCGATAGAGCCGTGGATCGAACGGTTTGCGCTTCTCTTCGGGTGGAGCTGTCTCTGATATGGATTTGTTGGCCAGCTCCTTTTCCTTGGCCAGCAGTTGATCTTTCGGATTTGGAGCAGCGCCTGGCTCCTTTACATTATTCACATTCGATTGCTCCATGTCCGTGAAGCTCTGATCCTCGCCAAATATATTCTCCTTGAGGCTGATAAAATTTCGCAGCACATTGCCATATGCCATCAGCACCGAGCTGCCGATCTCCAACTCCACTGTAACTTGATCCGCAGTCAGAGTGCCCGGATCGAATTTATTTTGCTGCTGCTCGATTTGCTGTGCCTGCTGCCAACTATTGCTAACAGGAGATTTTCTTACTTTCGGTATGCGCATTGGACTCAGTAGAATCTCCTCCTTTTCGGGCGTCGTGATATCCGCTTGTGGATCAGGCCCCAGCGGCGGCACCGGATGGTAAACATATTGGATAGACAGTGCCAATATGGGCACTGCCCAGCAATCGATCCAGCCGGCGCTGCGTTGGCAAATCTTGCGCCATTTTTTCGTATAGAGCTCTGGGCGTCTGATTAGTTTGCCTTCGCGTGTTAACAGTCTTGCATTCTCATCTATGGCTAGGACAATGGGTCGCACGGACGATACCTCCGGCACATACAAACTCAAGTCGAGACCTTCGCCATGTATCCAGAACTTGAGCGTCACAGTCTTGGGTAGAAAATCATCGAAGGGCAGCGCAAAGCTCATCTCAAAGACATCGCCACAGAAGCCCAAATGATTGTTCTCCTGATTCGCACTGCTGCAGTCGATCCAATTGTATTCGTTGCACAGCATTAGAATCTCGAATTCGTTCAAACGTATATTAAAATTGCAAGTGTAGGGCACAAAGCTAAGTATATCGGGTCTAGCTTTATTCGCCCAATCCTCGATGAGATCCTGGAAGAAGCATTTGTGCTTATACACAATAAACGCTGTTGTCTTGCAGCCAGCCAGCGAGATGTTCCAATCCTGCGGCGCATTCCATTTGGTTGGATAATGGATTCGCACTTTATACTCCAACGATTCGAACTCTGCCAAGCTGCGATATTGCAGTGAGGTTGTGGCCTCCACGTGGAACAGTTGACCCTGAATCTTGGAGGTATAGCCATCGGCTAGGGTCACCCAGGGTATGGTCACCTCCACATAGGAGGCGGGGCCCACGGTTATATGCATGGCATTTGTCTCCTTCTCTTTCGAGAAGAGTATGTCAATCGTGGCTTCATTCAGCACACAGAGCGTTACATCAAACGATTGATAGGTGCGCAGTTCACCTGGCTGAGGTGTCGGTGTTACCTCGGCTTCTTTCCAATCGGATGGATAGAAGTATCTGTAGAGATGATCGCGTTGTCTATCTGCCCAGGGGCCGTAGCTAAAGTCTGTGCCCTTCAGGCAATGTGCATTGATACCCCAAACGGGCGGCGACGGCTCCGATTCATCGCCGTTGGCCAAGAGAATCTGGACCGGCTCCTCTGGCACAACTCCAGGCTCATCCATATAGAAATACAAGTCCATTTGGTTGGACATCATAACCACAAAACCCTCGCCCATATAGCGTGGAGGTTCGTCAATTAAACCCGTATATTTCGGACTTGGGCAGAATAAAATTTTGGCATTTTCCACCTTCGCCTTGACGAAGTGCATAAAATTATCGAGCGGACAAACTGCGGGCTTGGTGCTGTACGTGCAGTGCGCCTCCTCCATGGATATGGACAATGTTGTCGGTGTTAAGCGATTGCCAAAGACAAAGCGACCTGAGCTGATGTCAATTTTGATAACAGGTATTAAATCTCGCCAGGTGGTGGCCTGCATAGCTTCAGAGTTCTTAACGCTATTCACGCGTTTGCTCTGCTTTGCATTCTCCAGATTCATATGATGCTCCTTGAGCTTATTACGCTCCTCATTGCTCACCACATCCGTGGGTATCAGCAGCGAGGGCTCCAAGCCAAAAGTCTTCTCCAACTTATCGTACAGATCGGAGCGATTGTAGATGTGCAGCTCATAGACATTCAGCTGCACAGACAAACGCGTGTCCGAGTGCGAGAGATCTGCAAAGGAAGAAGACTTTAATTTGATTTCCTTATGATGTGACTTTGAATACCTACCCTCGGAGACATCCTTGGGCACATACGAACGCCACCAGCGAAATATGAAGTAGCCATCCTGCACGCGCATCGTGTAATCATAGGTGATGTACACAAAGTCTCTAAACATTATTTTGCCAGCCAGCGGATTAATCGCTACAGATCCTATCTTAAAGTAGGCGCCCTTTATAAACCAGCGGTTGGCGATCTTTGTGATCAGCATGCCAATAACTCGAGAGTTGTAAAAGTTGTTGTAGGTCACCCACATGATGGTCGTCAGCAGCGAGCAGATCAGCCATATCTACAGTAGCAAACAGCAAAGGTCGAGCGTAATTAAGTATTATATCATTTTTGCTAAGGGGTTAAAGCATGTGTAGAGCAAAGGGCAATCTTGAATCTTTTATATATAAAAAGTAAGTAGTCACTAAGGAATACCCTATGTAAGCACGAGGCATACAAAGCCATTCTCTCATTTCAATTGTTTTCTGTTGCCCAGTTTCCCAGCTTGCATATAATTAAAATATATATATTTATATATGTTATATATATACTCTATAAACACTCACGTTACTCACAGCTTTTATGGTTCTGGTTAATTATTGACTTAGTCATAGATATTTTAGCCAACTGACTTTGATAACGAAACACACATCGTATGTGAAACAGATCTACGTAAATAAAACTAAATACGAGCTAAACTCGATTTAACTTCAAGTCTAAAAACAACTTAAGTGGTTCGTGGCTTATCGGATTAATATATATATTAAGAGAACTCTCGATTGACTTCTATAGCATTGTGAAGCTATAAATGGCAATTAATGCAAATATGAAATTGATATGAAATTAGAAAACAATGCGCTTAGTCACGCTTGGTTTAGTCCATATGGTGAGTAGTCCATGGATCAGTGAACAATTGCCACGATTTTTCAAAATTCCAATAGATTGGATATATATTAAAAATTTGTTTAATGATCTTTTAGTGATCATAAATTAGAGCAAAAACTCATATCATTATCTAATTAATTGTTGACTAACTAAATAAGTTTTTACGAAACAATATACATGATCGATTTTATTATTTTTAATTATTTACGCACAAACTTAAAGGACGTGTTAATGTAGACAAGGAACCATGACATTTAATATAAAAAAATTGTTACTTTGTGCACAGTAATTATTTTTACACCTTGATCCCATTGAAAATGGGAAATCAGAGTATGTTTTTTGTGTGCGGTTGTTTAAAGTTAGTGCTCAGTCAAAATAGTTGACAGGCACATCGCTAAAGATGGCGCCGGCAAAGGTGCATTTCTTAGCCTCCTTGATGACAGTGCATCCATGAATATCCTTGAAAAATATATTGTGGCCCACGCAGCGCGGCTGATTCACAGTACAGAAAGTGCGCCGCGCAGCTGGTCGGAAATATGCACGACCCGTAAATGGATTGACAAAGTCCGACCAATAGCCATCCTGCATAAACTCCACGGAATATTGCGAGGCTATGAGAACAAATGCCTTGATAGCACTGTTTACATCACTATCAAAGTATAAATTGAAGATGCTAAAATTGCCGGGATCCTTGAATTTGGAATAAGGAATAGTAAACAGTCGCTTCATGTGGGTCAGCAAGAGTTTGGGACATTGCACCACCTGCGCTCGAATCGGCTTGCCTTTCCAAGCGATCGACTTATGATATTTGCTCAAATCGAATTGATCGGCGGTGGTGAACAGATCCTGATAGGCCGGTCCAACGCTATGTGGCATATAGAAGAGATCGGAGTAACGATTTCCCAATATGGGATATATAGGATGAATTTTGAAATCATCATCATTCTCAAGATCGTCCTGCTCCTCCATATCAACCAATATAAAGTTTGGCAGGCTACTGCTACTCGTGAACCGCCGAGCGGGCTTCACGCATTTTTGATTCTGAAGTAGTTTTCGGTCCTTCAAACATCTACTTAAAAATCTTAAAGTTTGCATTATATATTATTTACTATATTTATTACAATTCGTCTGTTGGTGAGGTGGTTGATGGGAGGCGTTAAATAACTTAACTAAAATTTTTAGCTATCAGATCATAAAATCAAAATGTTTGCTTATCGTTATTTTAGTTTTACGTTTTTTTAGAAATTCGTTGCAAAAGCTGCGTTCTTAGACCGCGTAATAGACTCTGTGCGTATTAAAATAATTTAGAACGTTTGTTCATATAAGTAAAAAGAAAGCCAGCCCGATTAATATGAGCTTAAGGACCTATTCTGTGCCAGTTGTCAATACAAACCCTAATTGCTTTGTTTTCAAAAGCAAATGGTTTAGAGTTAAGTTTATGAAAACGAAACTTATCAAATATCGAGCAAGAGATTGTTGTATAAATCTCATTTATGTATTAAATAAAAAAGTGCGGATGAAATTTCAAAAAGGGGTTTTGTATACGATAAGTTATAGAACAGGAATAGGAATCTCTTCAAAATTTCAGTAATGAAAACTGTTTTTAACTTTTCTATACACAAACATTTCAATAAAACTAATCGAATATATATCGAATAACATACGCATATTGTTATATACTGATAGACATACTTAACAAACATATATATATTTATATATATATATCCATTACTATAAGATCCCTAATTGGTTTTACAAGTTCAAGCTAACTTACCTACCTATCGACTGAATATCGGATATTTATCGAAGTTTATGTATATTATTTTTAAACATATTTATAGAGAATGTGCTTCTATATTCCCCTTGATTGACTAATTGTTGAATAGTTAACGATACATTTGAGTAGTTATCGGTATATATATTAAGTTAGATCAATTACATACGAAGCTGGCTCTAAATAAACTGTGTCTATGTTCACTAGTGTAATGGAGAGAGAGTGTGTCTGTGTCAATGACCAAAGATCTTTAAATGATTGATAAGGCCTGCTGCAAATGGAAAAAGTCGCGCACTTGTTCGTCGAATGACTGTGGCTATTTAAGTGGGTAGCGAGCGATCAACGTGAGAGGCAGTATTCGAGAAGCTGATAAAGCCTCGTCCTCTGCTGATTCATGACACATTAATCAAAGCAAATACGTATATGGGTAAAATGTGCATAAGTATACATATGTATTTATACCATGGGTGCATCGATTTTCATGTTCTCCAGCGGAACATTGTGTGTGCGATTCCAGGTGCCCACTTCGGGAAACCCAAGGGAAATTCCATTGTCGCTTGTTTCATCCAAATCCATTTTCGCAGATTTTCTTTTTCTTGCCAAACGAGGGTAGAAGGGGTTGGGTGTTGATAGCTCGTTTATTAAATTAACGCTTAATGCTGTCTAACCACATTTTACTTATTCTTGCACTTTATCAATGAATATGCATAAACATTTCATGTTTATTTGCTTTCATTGATTTTAACTTATTGAACATACACATGCACACACACACATACGCGCACAAAGTTCGATTTTTCCCACTTTGTATTGGAGGTCGTCGTTGTCTCAATTTTTGTTTACTATTTTCGTCCGTTTTCATCGAAGCCACGCGCTTGCAGTTATATTTATAGTTAGCGCGAGTCGTATTTACACTTTTTTCTGTATTTTTAACAAATAATTACAACTATTTAGCGCGTAAATAATTAAAAAAATAAAATATCGGACGAAACGAAAACACTCCCATCTTGTGCTGCTTCTTGCCACTGAACATATGTTCGACATCGATAAGAACAATCAACTGGTTTATTTCGATAGTTCGCTTAGGGTTGCCGCATGTAGGTAGCCGTCAACAGTAACTGTTAGTTACATGAGTTTTTTTTAAGTTAAAATTGAATAAAATATATTTTTATTATTAAAAGAATTAAAATAATAAGCAGCATATTCTTTTTTCGATAGTTCGCTAGTCATTCATATATATTTTTCATTAAATTGTACTGTTATATTAAACTAAATCTGATAGCTTTTGATGAGATTAGCTTGTTTGACATGTAACCGATAGTAGTAACTGTTAGAAATTGCATATAAAAAGTAATTGCTGTTACAATTGTAAATATATACTTATTATATTTTCTATTTTTTCTGTATGTGATTTTAATGTATGATATTTTATACAAAATATTGTGGTTTCCGCATTGTTATGCCATGATCGGCCAGAGCTGGTACCAAGTCCTCCATAGCCAACGTGTATTTGCGATCTTTTGGGTTCTTCTTGTCCTGCAACAATATTTATATTTATATTTAAGTTATTTTGTTTATTGCTGAGAAATTAATAGCTTACCTTGCTGGAGCTGTGGCCGCTAGAGTGTTGAATGTTAGTTGTGCGTGTTTTACAATGCTGCAACGCATCATTTGCAATGTCCGAGATGAATTTTTGTGCTGAAACAGAAATTATGCGAACGATTCGGGGATCCACGGAGCCAAAGCCAGACTATGAAAATTGTTAAAAGCAGTTAAGCAGGAGGTCTTCAAGTTAACTTACGCTATTGAGTATCCGCATAGTAAGCGCATCTGGCACAGTGGGCGTGTAATCCTCCAGTTGTCCCAATAATTCCTCCATTTCTGCTTCGTCGTTCGATAGGGGCACAGCTTCAACATCTAAATTTTCTTCATCTGTTTCTAAATCCGGTAACGGTGCATCCTCAGTATCAGTTTCCGTTTCTGCTGCAGAAACTTCGCTTTCAGATGCTGTTACATTCATATCCTCGCCATCAGAAGCCATTATTTATATATTGTTAATATTGTTCGCTGTTTTCAGAAAACTGGTGATGACAGTCGCAATCAATGTTGGTAAATACGATTCAGATAACCAATATGCAAAGATATACGATGAATTGCAATATTGATTTCGTATAAGTAGGCAAATTCTCTTATCGCCTGGCCGCCACAATTGCTAAGTTTCATGTTAAAAAAATAAAACATAAAATGAGTCAAAAGTAACAAAATTGGAAATTTCGAAATTAAATTATTTAAAATACATACAATATGGTTATACCTAAAGAAATACTCAGCGACTACAAAGAGCTATTCGAGAAATCGGCCAAACTAGTGGAACAGGATAGTCGCACAGATCCACCCACTGATCCCTATCGTTCCCATTACAAAGCGCGTGACGTGCTCCTCGATTTGAAAAAACAGTTGGACGAGCAACTTATATCCATACAAGCAGCTGAAGAAGAAGGAGGCTCCGATGAGCTGTGTTACAAGTCCATGTTAGGCTTCACATGCCGCGACCTGGGACGAATTTATATATACGTTGAGGAGGTCGGCGACGGTGAGCAATTGCTGAATCGCTGCTTGGAGCTTATGGAGCCACACAAGCAATGCCCACAAGGTATACTACCATATATGGGCGCTGTGAACGAGCTGAGCATTGTACTTGCCTCCAGGCAGGAGTATAAGAAAGCAGTCGAGCTGCTTTTAAAAGCCGATAAGTGTTATGAGGAATTCAAGACTAGTGGTCAGATAGCTTTAACAGTTGAAGATCTCTATAATCCACCTGATGAGCTACGACCAGCCAAGGGCGGCGAGAATGAGCTAGAGAATTTGTATACGCTCTGCTGCTTCTATTTGGCTCAGATGTATGGGCATTTAGGTGAACCAGAAAAATCTGCGCAATGCTGCCATCGAACGCTTCACCGACAGCTGCAATACAAATCGTACGATGCCGTTGACTTTGCGCTCAATACGGCAACGCTTTCGCAATATTACATTGGACAGGAGAGATTTAAGGAGGCGCGCCATCATCTGGCTGCTGCCACCATTGTAATGGCTGAGCACGAAACGCAAATGCTGAAGCCGGATATGAGTGAGCAGGAGAAGTCGGATGCTTCGGAGACCTTCAAGCATCGCTATGCGGATGTGGCACGCTGCTGGGCGAAATACGGCCTGCTGCTCTTGCAGACGTCTAAGGAACGGCTGCTGCGCGACGACGAGGAGGAGGAGCAGGAGCAGAAGAAGCTGGCGGCAGCTGCCAAGCAGCTGCAAGTAGAAGATATCGATTATCGCTTTGTGGACCTCGACCTAACAGCCATCGAGCGGCGCATTACCTGTGACTACTGTCTGACATTCGATGATGCGAAGCTAGTCTTTCACTTCATCAACGAGTGGCTGGATGTAGCGAAGGATTACTACAAAGCAGAAACAGAAGCCACAGAGTATGCGAAGATTATACAGGATTATGCCGAGGCCTACGAGCACATTGCCTTCTTCGAGGAGCAGCCAGAAAATCAAGCCAAGATGCAAAAGCGACGCGCCAAATACTTAGAGGATCTTCTCGATCTACTCGATCCGGTGTGCTATTTGAAGATCTGCCAGGAATGCTGGTATGTGGCGGGCACCGCACATGCAGCCATTCTCGATGTGCGCCTGGATGCCATAAAGTCGAATCAATCGCCGACACCCGAAGATATAAAACGCGTAAACCAAAGCTGCCTGAAAGCCATCAAGCATTTTGAGAGTTATGTAAAGTCATATTTGGTCAGCAGTGACAGCCAGCAGTGGAAGCCTGGCATGGACAACGAGGAGTTGCGCACCATGCTCTATGCCCACTTTCATATTGGTCGCCTCTACTACAAGCTGATCAGCGCGCATCCCCAGCAGCAGCTGGAGCAATTGAATCAATGTTTAACCTACTACAAGCGTTTCAGCGATGCCTGCGACCAGCAGAAGGAGCCGGCAGAGCAGCTGCAGGGTGAGATTGGTGTAGTGCGGGAGATGCTGGAGCTGTTGCCGCTCAAAATTAACACTGTGAAACGCCGTCTAGAATGAATGCATCCACATTAATACAGTTTTACAATCCGTTGACTAACGGAATAATCCAAATAAACTCAAACTAACTGGAATTCGCTATAATCTATTTACAAATGCATTCTATAACTATGTTTAATTTATTGCAGGTAGAACAAAATAAATGTAGATTTCTTCTACCGAGCCTTCAAAAAGAAGTCCCGTATACGGTGTGGCACTTCAATCCTTTTAGTAATGGGATATATTATTGCTGTCCAATCAGAGTGCATTGGAACCCTCAATTCACTAATTGGCAACGACTTCAATCCTGTAGCAAATTGTTAACGCGTTCTATATCAATAGAATAGTCAGATAGATTCTGTATTTGGTTTACAACAGGCAGAAAAGATGAAAGAGGAGTCCGGAATCTTGCGGATCTTGCCTTAAAATGGTAATCCTGTACTTGATGGGGGCTTCTTGCTGGCAATTCTCACTGCCAGCGGAGATTGGCAATTGGGTTGCTTGTACTGGCGCCTCTTTAGCAGCTCCTTCTGTATGTCGCAGCCCAGCTTGCGGATGGGCAGCGCCGTAATATCATCCAGCAGATTCTCACGGGCATAGCGCAGCGTATTTTCTATCAGCTCTTCGATGTTGATGGCACGTGGATCTATCATGGGCTCGCGCTCCAGTATGTCCACAATAATTCGTATCGTTTCATCTGCCTGGAACTCTTCGAAAGGTAGCACCTCGATCAGCTCTTTGAATATGTGCAGCACCAGGAACTGGGTGCGATTGACCACCTCAGAGGCAGGACGACCGCAAAGCGAATCCTTTGCATGATCAAAGATGCCCGAGATCAATTCTTCGGTGTTCACATCGGAGCGTTCATAGTCAAAGACGGCAATCACCTCTTTGAAAAGCTTGCGAAGATCCTCGGCGCTGATGTGTATGAAGTATTTCTTTGGCACAATAGTTTCCAGGTGCTCCGTGATGCACTCGGCTATGCGATCCGTATACATGCCCTGGAAGTTGTACGCCGCCTGGCAAAGATAAAGCGAAGATCTTTGCGCGAATTTTCTCACGTTCTCTGCCGTTGTATGTCGGCCGAGCAGATGATTGAAGTTCTTCTGTACGATCGTGTGAACGCGATCCATGATAAACTCATCCGGCATCGGTGGCAGCATATATGCGTCCACATTGAGTATGGCAGGACATATCTCCGCATCCATCGGCAAAATCTCCGTGGTGACGACATCCGTCTGTTGCGGAAAAAGCTCGTTGATCTGCAGTGGCTTGGCTTTCAGGCGTAGCGTACAGATCTCACGTTCCAAACTCTACGTGGAGAGGGATTACCCACTAATTACATATATGATCAATGCTGTCCGAAAGTACCCACCTCGATTTGCTGCAGCAGCTGATTGTCAATGCCCATTAGCTTCTCGATGTCGTAGCTAAGATTAAGCACTTGTGGATTAGCCCATTTGTTATAATTGCGCTCCTGGATATCTAGCAGGACGTCCAACACGATCTTCTGCTCCCGCAGCACCGTCTGTATGTTCACCTTCTCCGTGTTGTTCTGCGTCTCCTGCACCAGTTCCTCCTCGCAGCGCGAGAGCTCAAGCTGTAGCACGATGAATGGAAAAGGGTTGGCAATAGCAAGTGCATGTTACAATTGACAATAGATTTGACTGAGAGTTAACGGACGACCCACCTGCCTTCTGCGCAGCTCCTTTTCGAGGGCTCGCATCTCCTCCTCGGCCGTTGTCTCCAGATCGAAGATGTAGCGTCGCAACACCTCCTCTTCCAGCTCATCCAGATTGATGATCAGTCCGAAGCGTTTCATCATGGCCTGCTTGATCTCCTCCTCCAGGCGCGTTATCTCGAATTTCATGAACTTAATATCCCGAGTCATGCGACGCAAGTGAATGAAGTTGATGCGATGCCAGCGTTTCGTAGCTAACGTCTCTTCATGCAGCTTCTCGGCACGTCGACGCAGCTCCACCAGAATGTCAGCATCGAAGAGAATGGCATTGGAGACATCCCTGTAGTCCTCGCCCTCTCGAAAATGCTGCAGCTGATCCATGCGCAGAATCGTGCTGATCTGCACCTTGTTGATCTCGTGCTGCCTGTTGCGCTGCAGAGGAAAAGGATCGTAGAAGGAAGAATTTAAGCATCCTTCACACAGACATCGGTCCGACTTACCCGAAACTCGAGCAGCGTATTCTTCTCCCGCTGGTACACCTCCTCGTGGTACTTCATTTTGGTCTGCATTTCGGCAATCTCACGACGTTTGCGCTCCACGTCACGATGGCACTCAGCCAAGGTGCGCTCGAGGGCATGACGATCTGCGCGCATTGCGAAGGACCACTCGTAGACGGAGCGATCCAAGCCGCTGGGACAAGTGGCCTCGTCCAGCCGTATTGTGGTTACGTCCAAAGAGTCAATGCTTTGAGCATCGGCGGCGCCATCCTCACTAGACGACGACGAGGAAGAGGACGAAGATGATTCTTCGTCGTCGCCATGTACACGCTTCGGCGGACGCCATTTTTTCTTGAAGATGCGTCGCAAAAAATCATAGAACTTGTGCCCTTTCACCGTGATGAGGAAGTTCTGCTGCAGTGCCACAATTTGGTCATTGAGTTTTTCTATGTTCTTGCGCAGGTCCTCCAGCTGTCGATTGGTTGCATTGATCACCAGTTGCAGCTCGTTGCGTGTGCTCATGGCGTGCTTGGCATTCATGAGTAGTTGTGTCTCGATCTCCTCGCTGTCGCGCAGTATGTAGAGCTCCTGATTGAGCGTGATCAGATAAGAAGAAAGAAACTCGGCGTTCATTTTGATATTAATGCGTTCGGACTGCAGCTTCTCCAAGGACAAATCGAACAGGCGTATCTCCTCATCGACATCGGCCAGCATAAGCAACTGCTCGACAACCAGAACGCGTAGCCAGCGATGTCTCATCTCCTGGATCAGGGGTCCGTTGCCCTCTTCATCTAACTCGTAGTAAATTGGATCTGTGTTCAAGGGTAGGCTCTCTATATACTGGAGCATTTCGGTCGGTGGCAATGTACTCGACAACTTGCTGATCTGGAGCGCCTTGAATTTGATCTGCTCACGCATTGCCGCGTTGGCGTAGTTATCCATATCGTAAAGACTAACTTGCGAGACGGTAACTTGTGGGGTCTTTGCGGCTATTAGCTCGTCAACGGTAACATCCAAGCTGAGTATATCATCCACGTTAATACCGCAACCGGGCGTAAAGTGCTCGATGAGATTCGTCTCTGGATACTCGTTTTCGATGTCAATCTCATTGATCTGCCGCATGTTCATACGATTCGTCTCCGGCAGATATTGGTGTATTTGCTGTAATCGTGTACGACGCTTGGCGATGTTGTGCATTATCGCCTTTTTGCGTTCCCTCAGCGATCTCACCCGATGGTTGTACTTGTCGAGCATATTGAAGTATTCCTCTCTGCATTTAACAATCTCAATATACTTGGCCGTCAGGTTATCCGTGGTCTTTGGCTCATATTCGTCACCAATCTTTAGCTTATAGTCACCCAGATTTCGCATTGCGGCCGCTATCTCGGCATCGTCGTCGGGATGATTGCGATTCGGATCGGGCTTCTGGCGCTCCAGCTTCTCCCAATCGAATATGCGGCGCACCTCGTACATTTGCCTATCTCGATAGCGATGCAGCAAACGCATCATCTTTCTGCTAAAACGTGGCGTAATTGCCTGTGGCTCTCGGCCAAAGAAGAACGTCTCAGTGGGTGGTACGCCCATTATATCCTCCTTTTCGTCAGAGGCTACCATTTCGGTAAAGCTGCACAATGATGAGGAACAAGTTTTAATGGGGTTTACTTAAAGAAAACACTGTCGGTTTACAGATAGAACTAGCCATCTAGACGGGAGAAACTAAAAGTATTCCTTCCTTAAAAAATTATGTTAACAAAGAATAAATAACTTTTAGTACAGGGATTTCGACAGGAAACATAGAAAAAACCCATGAAGGAAGGCAACTAGAAGGAACCAAAATAAATAGATAAGGAAACGTGGAAAATAATCTTTAAAATAAACAAGGATATCAATATCTAATATAGAATAAAAAAAATATATATGAGACAGGAATAACTTCAGTAAAGGCAACGATGGCAAGAAGGAAGGAACGAGTAAAGGAAGTTAAAATTTCTCCCATATACGGAGAAGTTCAGTTTAAATGAATAAGTATACAGTTATAGAAGAGGTGCTCAAATTGTAAGTATTTAACTGGATAGTCTTACACTTCGGGCTGCTCTGGCACAAGCACTTCGCTTTCCCCGCTGCTTGTTTGTGTGATAAAAATTTAAATATTTTAGGATTACAGAAGTGGAGTTGAAGTTAGTAATTGGAGCATGCTTACCGCATATCGTGTTCCATCCTAAGCCGTTCCTCAATGTCGCGCTTGATTTGCTCAAAGTCCTCGCCCAAAGCCTCCACGCGAAATGTGCATACGGGATCTATGTTGGCGCTGTGGATTTCGATATAGCATTGCTTGACTGAAGGTCTTAAGAGATTTGAAGGAACTCACTAGAGCGGCGTAACAGTAAAGGGTATATGCTCCAAGCACTTGAGAAAATGATTGTAGAGCTTCTGGTGACCGACCTGGGCAACCTCCAGATCATAGGCGAGATCCTCACGCACATCGTCAAGCTCGGCCTGCAGCTCGTCCCGGATTTGTTGCGTGATGCGCGGATCAAGCAGCAACTCTTTGTCCGACACACGTAAGCCTGGTGGTAGCTCATCATTCTTCTTGATGATGTCGAAGTATGTGGACTGCAGTAACCCAATCTTGGCTAGAACATCACGATCGTGTGCCTCGGCTGCTTCCTGCTGACGTTTTAGCTCCGCATTGATCTTTACCTGCTCCAGCGACGGCTCCTCCGGATCGGTAATGTCCTCCACAGTTCTTGGACTGGGCAAGCCCGGCAACTTCGACCACAGTGAACTGCGAACATACTTCGGCCCATTCCACTTGTACAGAAAGATGTTGCCGTCGAACCCAATGGTGACCAGATATTCGCCATTGTAGCTGCTTAATATAGCAGGAATGGTGCCTTTGAGGGCATCGTGCATCGGATACGTGCGATAGTCGGACAGATCTGTGAAGTTCTCCGAATTTATGTGATTAATGCGGAGGCTGCCGTTCATCAGACCAAACAGAATGAACTCTTCGCTAAAGAATGGAGAACGAGCCAATTAGAGTGGCGATACCTTACTCTTAAGTTGACTTACAGGATGTAGTAGCAGTGTATTTCAATGTCGTCCGCATCCGCAATCAGCGTGCAGTACTTTGGCTCCGGACTGTCAAAGTCAAGCTCATAGAGGTAGCCGGCATCGTAGCCCGCCATGGAGACCCAGATGGTATTGCGTTCCGTGTAGCGCAGCCAGATGACGCGATTGGGTATGGCGGGTATGTGGAGCGGCTCCTCCTCTTCCTCTGGTTCCGAATCGGCCAGTGCGCTTTCCAAATCGATTTGTAAGCCAGGATTCGCCTTCTTCAGCTTTTCGATTTCGCGTAGCTTACGCTCCTTTTTCTTATCCTTGCGCTTTTTAATCATCTCGCGCCTCAAGTCCCGCCGTATGCGACTCTTCACCGAGACGAAGCGGGTGCTGCGCAAGCGACTCGGGTCCGTGATATTGTAGCTCAGATATGTCTCCGCTGCGGTTACATTCACGCGTATGTTATACTCATAGACCTCGCCGGTCACGCACCCACACAGCACCACCGAGGACTCTTGCTGGTGCCAGTGGAAGCAATTGGGCACGGCCATAAATTCCACAAAGCCAAGCGGGTTCAGCTGGACCAACTTCTCGGCATCGTTGCTCAAACGATAGATGAACATGGTTTTGTCCTTCGCTCCACTGACCAAGAGTGTGCTAATACGGTTCACCCCCAGGCAGGTGATGGGCGCTGTGTGTGCCTTGTAGGCGCGTATCAGCTGAATGGACGCCTTGTTCGGATTGCTGAGATCGAGAAAGAGCTGTCGCAGTATGCCGTCTTCAAATCCAGCAATCAACTCTGTGCCAAAGCTGGATATCTGCGAGTCGAGCCAAAGTATGTCCACACCATTCGAGGCGAACTGTTTGTCCAACAGCAACTTGCGTCGCTCGAAATCATAGACGAAGAGCTTGCCAGTCTCGGAGAGGGCTAAGAGATGAGGCGATATGGCTGACATTTGGGCAGCCAGCACGCGTCCGCCCACGCAGGAGTAGATCTGCTTGGGTGGTCTCGGCACATCAAAGGTATTGATATCGCAGAACCAAATTCCGCCCAGTCCATCCTGAGCATAGTACCCGAAATCTTTTTTATCAAACGGTTTGATTTTCTGCATGGCGCGCAGCTCGACGTTGGAGATTTTGAACTCATAGATGGGATCGATTTCGACAAAGAGATCGTCTTCCGGCGGATCGGCCAAGTCCACTGTTTCCCAATACCAGACACGCACGTAGCCATCCATGCCAACGGTTGTGACCTCTCCATTCGACATGGTGATCCGTGTGATGGGCTTCGTATGGCACGGCTTGCGACCCTTGCGACAGACCTCGAATTTGATGAGACCTGCTTCCCATAGGAGAATATTGCCCCAATCACTGCCCGAGATGACATTCTCATCGGGCAGCATATACATCGCACAGATGTCACTAAAGTCCGTTTTGCCAAACCGTCCCAGATCTCCTTTCAGCTTTAAGCCCGTAAACGTGTTAGCCATCTTCCAGAACTTAATATGGCTAAGACCGGCGGAGCACAGCAAAATAGGATTATACTCGGAGAAGTGCACATAAAGTATATTGCTCTGAAACGATTTGGCACGCAGTACCACCTCCGCCTGCTGCCAGCGCCAAATGGTGATAATGAAGTCCGGATAGCCAGCCTGCGACGCGAAGAGGTCGCCGGTCGAATTGTAGGAGCCGGCAGTGAAGCAATTTTTGGCTGCATTCAAGAGTTTTGTGTGGATATCGTGAGAGGGATACGAGTAGATGAAGATCGTTGGCTTGGGTCCATTTTCACCAACAGTAAAGAGATGACTAAACTCGGGACGTTCATTTTTCTGCAGGAGTATAAGCCAGAGGTGACATCTATATATCTTTGACTGAACTACTTACGGCAATAAAGCCAATGCCGCAGCCAAAGACGGTCTCGCGAAAGGTCACCTCGCCCTTTGAGATGCTAAAGTAATGCAAGAAGTTGCCGGATGCAAAGAGCAATGTGTCATCATCTACCGAAATCAGATTAAACAGACGCTTGCAGTCGTAGCCAAAGGAGTGTCTAAGCAAAGATTGAAAAGCAATCTAGTAAATACGTCAATTGAGCTCTATAGATGCTGCTTACTCGAGTGTGATGATGTCCTGCATAAAGGACACATTGTAATCGTCATTAAGATCCTCCTCCTCACCATCCGCCCCCGTCAGGTCCGCATTTTCGCCTATTGAGCCGTCCATGCCTTTCGATATATATTTTGTTTATCCTATTTGTTTTTTGAGTCAATTCAAAAAGTTTTCTCGACTAATGTTTCAGGTGGTTGCCAAGGCAGTTGGTTGAAATGGATTAGCTACAAATATGTGGGCATGCGCAAAGGACGTTGGCATTGCGTGCATGCTTAAGACTATTAAAGCATATTTTAGTTAAGCTTAACTGAAAAGTAACTTGTTTAGTTTTGAAACGACAAACCCTTATCGCCTGAGCTCTATTAACTGCTTTTTTTACCCTATAGCAAAAAGGAAATTTTCATCTAAACTGAACTCATTACATCTTAGGTTTATCTTGTATTCAATTTAAATATATTTTATAGACTTGATCTGAATCTGACATCTTAAATTCTGCTTTTTGCAAATTTCCGGGTTCGAATCTCATAAAGGGAAAAATTGTCAAAATCAAATTTTAAATGTCTAAAAATAATTAAAATCTAGTTTACAAACTATATAATCATCACTACAACAATATTTATATAAAACTCTAATTTTCATTTACAATCAATAATAGCCATAGGCATATTTCCAAATTTATTTATAGATTTATTAACTCTTATAATTAAATAAATAAAATTTTGCAAAATATATCGAGTACAACCGAACCATCAAAAGATTAGGTCCTTAAATGCATCATCATCATCATCTTCATTGAAAAATGCAGCTATATCCTTTTCGCTATCCACGGTTGAGGGTTTCTCCTTCTCGCTGCTGGAAATGTTCTCTTTGACTGGTGCCTCAGCTGAGCTTGGCTCCAATTTGGCTGCTGCAGCTTTGTTTGGCGAAAAATACTGATCAATCTTGCTCGACTAAAATCAATAAATGGCATTAGTTAAAGTTAGTTTAATGAGAGTTAAACGCTTACAGTTGTCGGCGCTGCTGTGTGCGTGGCATGCTGTAAGTCCTCGGCAAAAATTCCCACTTTGCTAAGCACCTCCTGCTTATTCTTTAACATATTCCAAATGGTATCATCAGCTGTCTGATTAGCCATGAGATAGCGACAGACCACAGGTTTCGTCTGGCCAATGCGATGTGCGCGACTCTCGGCTTGTGCCAGGGTCTAGAAGGCAGCAAATAAGAACATGAAGAAAGTTAAAGTGGATTAGAGTTTGATTTGGAGCATAGACATACGCTAGGGTTCCAATCGAGCTCTGCAAATACAATAATTTCCGCTGCCGTTAGCGTGATGCCCGAGTTGCACGCTTTCAGCGATAGGACTGCAGCCTTGCAGCTGCTTTTCTTTTGAAAGGTATCCACATAGTCGGCTCTCACATCGCTGCGGGTTTGTCCATCGATGCGAATGAAGGACACTTTAAGAGCACTTAGACAATCACTTATAGCATCCATCATAATGCGATGGTGTGCAAAGATGATGAACTTCATCTTTTCTTTAATCAAAGTTTTTAAATATGCGCTGCATGGTTGGAAGATATAAAGAGAGATTAGTCCAAAGCAGCGACTGTCGATGGACTCGCACTATTTACCAAACAGCCCTTGTTTTCACCTCTGCTGTGCGCGCATAGAAACGCAAGAGAAGCTCCTCGCGAGATTTGCCTTTGGCCTTTTGCAGCTCGTTGTTGAGCTCATTACAAGTAGTTTTTTCAGCATCATTTGTCCAAATCAAAGCGGGATCAAGCACAACTGTTTCACTGCAAAAACAACCATTGATTAGATTCTTAAAGTTAATGTAATTAGAGATTATAAATATTGGAATTCTTACCGATTCTTCTCGGCCAACTGTGGCAGCACCTCCGCCTTGGTTCGCCTTATCATATATTTGAGCATTAAGATCACCTTTAGCTCATCTAAATTCGACTGGCCATTGGCATCCCAGCCAAAATGGGATTGCTTGCCGTCACAATAGCGGGAAGCTGACAAAGGTAGAAGACAATTACCAAAGAGATATATAAATAAATAGATTAGCTAGACTTACTGTACTCCATAAAGTTCATAAAGCGACTGTCCACGAGTTGAATCTGTGTGAAGAGCTCCAGGGGTCGCGAGAGAGCAGGCGTGCCAGAGAGTAAGATAACACGCTTAGCCTGATCTGCCAGCCTCTTGGCCACGGCTGTGCACTTGGCTTTGCCATTCTTTAGAGTGTGTGATTCATCGTAGATCACGCAGCCAAATTTTCGCTCCATTAGCTTATCCATATGGCGTTCCATCATGTTGTAGCTGGTTATCAAAATCTTGGCGTCCACTACATACATATTGTTGTTGGTCAGCAACTGGATACAGTGCACCGGCACGGAGGGAAGCAGTTCTGTTATATGTTTTGCCCAAGCGTCGCGTGTGCTGGCCGTCGTGCAGATGAGTAATGGCCAATCTTCCTTGAAATAGTCCGCTATAGCTAAAGCCTGATAGGTCTTGCCCAGGCCCATTTCATCGCAGATCATGACGCGTCCCTGTTGAGCTATCGCGAAGCTGTGAGAGAGAGAAAAGTGGTTTACATATTTTGAAGATAATCTTTGTGATTGTAGCGTAACTTTCTTACCACACACCCTCCTCCTGGAAGGGCATCAGCATTTCGACCAGCTTCTCTTCAATGGACGCCAAAACGCTTCTTTCTATGGGCTTTGCCTGTCGCTTGCACAGGTCAATAACTTTCTTAGGTATGCTACCAATAACCACATGCGGTTTAAGATCTCCGACATGCTGCTGCAGCAGCTGGTAGTCCTTGAGATCAAAATCCCAGATACGTGTTTGGGCATCATACGATTTACTTGGCATATTCTTAAAGACTTCAATTAATTGTTGATGAAAGCCAGAAGGTACAACAGCAAAACGCTGCGCACTTATCAAATATATTTTACAGTTGATGGATTTGGTAAAAACAGACGCCAGCGGCTGCTCCTTCTCCGGACTAAGTGTGAGGCTGGGTCTGTTTGCGCCATTGGGTCGTTGATATGGATGGGCGGCAGCGCGGCCTAATTCACGCGCACTTGTGGACTTTATAGCTTTGAGCGCATTTAGAAAAGCGGAGCTCTTGTTTTGGCTGACATTGTTGTTATTATAGTTAACTGTCTTTGTATTATTTTGAGGCGGCGATTTGTAAAAATTGGACGCGGATTTTGCGCCCAATTGTTCACTAACACTTGTTGCGGGTTTTGTGTTTGAATTTATAACTGGTGTTTGGTTTTTCTTCGCCTGCAGCTTTGCCAGTGCAATGCGCCGCTTTTCAGCTATTTCAGTAGCTGTGCAGACCGACATTTCAATACGATTAAGTTATTTATTTTTATATTTACTAATAAGCTACTCGTTGGGCAAGCAGAAAAACAAGACAAGAGCAGGGCTGTTACGATGTTTATTGGGCAAACATCTGTTTGCTATCGATAACTGGCGCGCACGATTTGAATGGTCGAACTTAAGCATATTTAAGTTGAATTTTATATTTGTTTTAGTTAGTTAGTCTATTACTCTATTTGACTATTCATTATATAGGTATTGCCATTTTCTAAATTGAATACGCTATCATGTTTAGCAGTCTTATTCTGTAGTATGGTCACTCAAATTTATCGCTCATAATGTGCACGTAACAATTAAATTCTTATCGATATTTATTGAACCTAACAACATTTCGTAATTTTATAGGTACCCGCCAAAGTTCGAAAAATATCGAACGAACCTATCGCTTGTTACTCGACCGCCACAATAATAATCGCACAAATTTGTAAATAAAATTTCATGTGTTTGGACTTAAACTTTTAAAATAAGTAATATATTCAATTAAAATAAATTAGTGAAATCAACTGCAAGGTGAATATGGTGTTCCTTTTTTCCTATAATTTATTTCAGTTCAAATATGTTTACAGCTAAGTATTTATTGCTAGTGGGATCTGCCTACAGCGCTCTCTGCTTTTTTAAATGCTAAGTTTTGATATTTTCCCCGAATTTACCTTTTTATCTTCTCTGCTTCTTTCGCTATGTTTCTTTGCTTTTCTTCTTTGCAAAGTTGGGATTGCTTTCAATACAATTGTCATTTAATTAAGATTTTTTCTATACACTATTTTTCTTTTAAAGCGGACTGTCCCTCTTTATTTATACTTCTCTATTTCGACTCTCCTCCTCCGTATGCCATCCTATTGCCCTATTCTCTCTCCCTCTCTCTCTTTCTCTCTCGTTCCCTTTCACTTTATCCTTATCTCTCGCTTTAATTGCTTTTCTATCTTCTCTCCTTCCCTGCGTCTAAGCTGCTACGCTATGTTTATTCTCTCGCTCTGTCTATCTTTCTCTCTTTCTCTCTGCCTCGCACGTTTCTTTTGTGGTATAGCTTGTTGTATTGTTTTTCCAGACACTTGTGTTGTTTCCAATATTAAGTCATAGTCTGAAATTTTGTTCAATTTTGTTCATTTCGTAACCCATTTTCCGAATACATTTGTCACCTATGCCAATGCGACATGCCAAAGTATGAAATATTTTGTCACAAATAGAAATAACCTGTCGAATTTGGTTTTTATGTGCCCGCTTTTCCGGCTGTCTTGCCGCCTTGCTGTGTCCTTTTGCATGTGCTGTCCGGTGGCAAATAGAAAATGTCAATAAAATGGAAAAACATGAAAATATTTGTTAAGCCTTCGAGTGGTAGACGTAGCTAGCAGTTGCATGCAGAGCTTTGCACCTTCCATAATTTAATTGATATTCGTCTGGCCTTGGCACACGCAGTCGCCCAGCCACCCAGCCTGCATCAGCCCAGCCCTTGGGGCTAGGCTCTGTGTTTTGTTTCATTTGCTGTTGCAGCTTCCGTCGCCGTCGTCAACTTTGATGTTGTTGCCATTTTCGATTTGATTATATTCAGGCCGCCGGTTATTTGCATTTGACGTGCTGTGCATCGCTGCATTCGCGCTATTGTCGCAATCATCGCATTAATCACAAACAAATGGCCGCACAACTGGCTCAAGGACGGGGCCACCATTCGCATTGCTCATACGCCACCGCACCGAACCACATGTCCCGGCGCGATGCAGGGCAAAATCGAAAATTGATTTACTTTTAATACCCCGCCTAGGATACATGCAGTTAAGATACTCTAACTAGATCTAGTAAGGAGTAGCACGGCGCATCGACTTCACGCGGCAAGTCATATTAACCTAACACCTAGCAGCTGCAAACAAAGTGCTCGCTAGTCAAACAGTCTCTAAGCAACAGAACTCTTTCTTTTTTTTTGTTATTTCCTTATGATTTTTGCTTGGTTCATTCTTTCTCTCTTTTTTGACACTTGCGAGCCGCTCGTTGGGCCATTTGCAATAAAATCAAATGATGCACGCATCGTAAAGCTCCTCGCGTCGCGTTTTCTATCGTCGTAAAAAGTATACGCGGCGTATACGTTATATACGAGTATTGTTGCTCGCACTTTTCAGCGTTCGCTTTACAGCCGTGCAAATCCCCTTTGCAAAACAAAAAGCGAAACACAACAAAAAAACTCCACATTGCTCAGCTGTCAGGCGGGCAGTCGGGATACCAGCCAGACATTTGTGGCTTTTTAAGCGGCATAAATGATTTTAACGTGTCTCGCAGCTCTCTAAAAATAATCATTTTCTTTGCTTCTTTTTTCGGTTTGTTGCGCCATGTGCAAAGATACCATAAAAAAATATTGCGGCTGCAAAGCACGACAAAACAACAACAAAAAAAGAGAATAGAAAAAAGAGATGGGCATGAAAAGCCGATCAGAAATATTTATGACCATTTGCTTTTGATATTTATTCAATGGCCTATCTTTTTTTCGGCGATAAGTCGCAAATAGTTTTGTGATTTTTCCCAGCGATTTTTCTAGCCTGAAAAAGGGAAAAAGCGTCAAAGTTTTAAAGCTCGCAGCATGTCAAAATAGTGAAAAGTTCCGAAATGATTTCACTCCTTTTTTCTTTCGTTTAACTTTCTTACATTTTGCTTGCCTGCAAATGCAATTCGAACTGTCAATTTAAGCCAATTTCACATTTATATAACTTGCAGCCAGTCGATGCCAGAGATGAAAACCCAAGAGACATATTTACTGCATATAATATATATACTAAATTTAGATAACGCAAGCTAACAGTAGATTGAAGAAAATCGTATTACAGACAATATATCTATATACATATATCTTATAGAGGGCATAAGACGGCCTAGCAGTCAGCTAAGTGCATCTTATTCCTAATTGCTTAAGAGTTATTTTCAGCAATTTGATTGACTTTTCGATATACCCTGTTTAAAGAGTAAGAAAAAGGTATATTGGCTTTAGGCAAATGTGAACTTAGACTGAAACTTTTTGAAATCAAGAACTGTATTTCCATATAAATATCTTATAAACGGCAATTCTAGTTCAATTGAATGAATAAGTTCATATTTGAACTAGTTCACTTAGTTCAGCAGCTTGTGAACGGCACAATTTCAAATTTATTAAGTTATTATTCATTTCATATGCACTAGTTCTGCTGATGAACCAGTTCGTAATTATTAATCATGAACTATTCGTATTGCAGAACTTTTCTCTCGTGCCGTCGCTCAATAGAACGCATTGTTTATGCACAGCTGAGCCACTAAATGGAACATAAGCTGAACAAAGCTTTAAGATAATGGAATAATGCCTGAACAATTGAGCTGCTGGACAAAGGCCTTGTGCCTGACGAACTGATTTATATCGTTCATTGAACACTGAATCAGTTCATTTTCACCACTTTTACAATGTAGCTTACTTGGCGCAATCAATATGCTCATTAGTTATTTATCTCTATTGATGTATGCTCTTCAGATTGATATCATTCCTTGCAGTTTGTTAGCCACTTAATCTAAGTCAGGCTTAAGCCAATTTTGATGCTGCTTATTAGCTGCAGCACCCTGTTTTCTGGTCATCCTGTTTACAGGTTTTAGTTTCTTCCTTTTTTTGGAGGGGCCAATGCTGAAGATTCGCTCAGCATGTGTTGTTGGCAGAAGAAGGACCATTTATTATTGCCTTTCCATTTTTGTACAAGGTCACGCTGCCCGCTGCACTCGCCATTTTGTCTCCGGACGCAGCGCCATTTTGGAATGTGACGGCCATTAGGTTGCATAAAACGCTGTAATGGCATTGTTTTTGCATTCCGCATTTAATATTTAACACCCACTTTAAAGGCTTTGCCACTTAGTTGACTAAAAATTATTGCAATGCATTTCACATTTCACGTTTCACATTTTGCATTTTGCATTTCACATTTGCTATTTGGCATTTGGCATTCCGAATTTTTGCGGTTTTCATGCATTTTAATTGTTGCGATTAATGCTAACTCTTTCAAGGCTCTTCTATGGTTAAAATATATTATAATGTGTAGAAACTGCAAATAACTGTAGTTATTTATCAACAACGCTTTATATACTCGATACAATTGCAAATGCATATATAGGGTATATTAGTTTTGTCCACATTTCAGGCAGAAGAAGGCGGCACTCACTTCATATATATAAAATATTAGAAAAGAATCATTTAATATATGGCTGAATCATGTTGGTCTGCTTATTTAACTTTTATACATAATCTTTATTAACTTTGCCATAAAACCGATAAAAATCGATTCAAATTTCAGTTATTTAATCATATGTTATACGTTATAGGATCAAAAGAATAACGAACTATTTCGACAACGTTTTACTCAGTTCGGGTATCTGTAAGTCGTGTACTTCCGCCAACAGCGCTCTTACGTGTTAGCTATGCAAATGCTGTGCTTAACATATTCTGTTAGGAGCCAATCGTTAAATATGCAAAACTTGAGCCTATGGAAAATTGTTTAAATTCCATTTAAACTATTCAAATTGTTTTTATTACTAAAAACGCAACAATAACGTTTAAAATGAAACTGATTATGCAGACTAGATTAAAAAAAAAACGACAAAGACAAACTAAGCAATAAATTTGAAATGCATTGCATTTAAGCTTAAAATATGCAATGAATAATCGAATGTGTTAATACGCATGCAAATGATATATAAATATAAATCATAAAACTCTTTCAATTATCATAAAAATACCATATTTTATGGTAATTATTTTTAAACACCCATTTATTAATTATTTTTCGCACTTTCAGCTAATTTCTCTCAGAGCATAGCACAAAAAAAGAAAAACAAATGTTAAAGCATTTGAAAGCCATTTAATATATTTGACTTTATGCGCGGCATTGTCCCCAAAATATCACACAAACCATATGTTTACCTATGTATATATATATATATACATATATATATAGAATTTTCAAATACAAATTCGCAAATAAATTAAATATAAAAGCAGTCGCACGTGTATAAACAATTACAATCAGATACACATTCGTATATATATATATATATATA